AAAGGCAAATTTGAGTATCAGCAGAAATTTCCAAATCATGTGTAATAATAATTCCATGTTAGAAAATAATCCTCCCATATTATTCTGCAACAGTCAGATCTCATCTCAAATATTGTGTGCAGTTCTGGGCATTTGGAACAAGTTTAGAAAAGGACAATAAGGGTTATCAACAGGCCAGAAATTATGTCCTACAAAGAAAGATTGAAAGAGCTGGGCCTGTTTAGCCTTGAGTAGGCATATTATAAACACAAGAAAGATGTCTCACAGAAAAGGCCAAGATCTGTTCTCTATCATCCCAAAGGGCAGGACACAGAACAAAGGATTTCAGTTATAGGAAGGCACATTCCAGCTGAATGTTAGGGAACATATGAATTCCTGCATTAAACAGGTGGTGGGTCTAGTTGACCCTTCAAAGTCCATTAGTCTACTTGCTTACATACAGCTCTAACATCTGGGGGAAGAAGAGGTATTAGGAAAAAAAAGTCAGTTAATTTTATTGCACTAGACTAGAAATATTCCACATAGATGTTAATATTTTCTGGTTCTCTTAAAATTTACATCCCAAGGTCTGATTTCCTCATGTTCTTTGCTTTTAGTATTCTGTAAGTTTCTTTTTTTCTTTTGATGTTCTATTTATTTTAAATTAAATTTAAACAAACTTAAAATGGAATCTGAATGCATACTTAATTAGATTTACCATTTTTCCTTTGGTTTGCACAAACTGATTTAGTGCAGCTGGCAGCACTAGGTTGTCATTACAGTTGAAATAGAGACTGAAAAGAAATCATCCAATTTAGTCAAGCACATTAACACTTAACTTGGTTTAATGTTGTGGAATCAACAGTTCATTACCCTTAAAGTGTCCTACTAAAAGAATCCCATTCTTACTAATGTAAGAGAACTGAAGAGCGAATATTAACAAATGTGCTCAGAAAAGACCTTGGGCTGTCAGGCGGTTGATGGGGCTGCCAGGAACAACTCTCAGCGAAATCAATAATCAAATGAATTGCTATGTCCTGGCAAACTACATGCCTCTCTTCCTAGTGGGACAGCCTGTGAAAGACTGGAATATAAGCTGGCCTTCTGCCTGGGCTCACCCCAAAATAGCAAGAAAGCCTAGTTCAGTGAGCCAGCTAAACGGAATGCAGTGCAATTGTAACTCCTTGGGGACTGGGAGGCTCACATTGTTACTACATCATCTTGTGTTGCCTAGCCTGCTTTAATTCTAGACATACCTGAACATTTAAATCTGTAACTATATCAAGAGACTATGCAGCACTTGCGTGCCAGTGAAAAAGGTCCACAGCCAGAAAAATGAGATATTCTGATTGTCAGGGGGATTAGCTATCAACATGCAAGATCAGGGGCAGCCATGTCCAAAGATTACTGAAGTAGAACTCCAGTCTAGCTATTGTCTGGGATTATTCAAGTAATCAGAGCCGGGTGTTTGGCTAGGGCAGAGAGGCCTGATCTATTTTACTTTTCTGTGTTCAAGTTCTCTTTTTAGAAAGAAGGTTGGGGGAGAATGGCAGACGGAGGAACTGGTGTACCTCTGCGATTAAACGAACAGCCAGAGGGCTGAATAATAGAAAGATCAGGTTGCTGGATTATCCTGTCAAGCAGAAAGGATCTGTGAAGAAAACTGCACATGGATTTCTTCCCTCTTCCTTGATTCTCTCCTCCTCTTCACACATCAGAATAAGTCCTTGCTGGCTCATAAAATTACTTTCCACCTCATCTTCCTTCTCTCCCACTTTTTCTATAGAGACAAAAGGCTGTACTCCTGAGCCTGGAGGTTACTGCCCTCACCAAATTATATACAGTAGCAAAATAACTCACCTTGTCCATCTTGACATGTTATTAAATAAAGGATAATGGAAATGGGATAACCTGATCTGGCTAACTTAACTTTAAAATGGGATATTCTGGAATATTCTACTGACTTTTTAGATTATAGAACTCGATCCTGACAACTTCAAACCACTCTAAACATTATGGATAATCAATCATTTCCAGTGTCATGCAAAATGCTGCATTTCAGAGAGGACTATACAATTCTGCCTTCTTTATTAAATGCACAGATACATCTATCTCAACTGACTGTACACACAAATACTTCATATGGGAGGTGCCTGACAAATGACTCACGAAGTATTTGTTGATGTAATAACGGTAATTAGACAGTCCCATACTTGGCACATAAAAGGAAAGCTAAAATTCAAAATGTTATTGGGATAGCTTTTGTTGTTATACGAATTCAGAAGCTTTTAAGTTGCTCAGAGTTCTTTAACTGATGGAAGGAGAAAGATACAAAGAGAAAGAAGGACAAAAGTAAAATAGTCAAGAGGTAGTATAGTCACAAATGATGAGAGTCCTGCCAAAGGTAAGTATTAAGTGCCACTGATTTTAAATAGACAGAATTGGGCATACTTTGGTCCATGCATGCCAATCCATGAAGCTTAACTGCCGTTTAATTTTAACTGGACTATACTAAAATGTTTAACATTTGAAATTTGAAAAGCAACACCTTCAGAAGCAAGAGTATAGCATAAACCTTCTGTTCAATCCACTGTCACAGAATCATTTTTTAAAGTAAGAAGTTTTGAAATGTCTTGGTTTACCTGTTCCTTTTGTACCTTTGAATTAAAAGCAATGGTATTTTAACATATAAGGAGCACTGGAATTGTTATATGATAATTCTGGAGAAAGCAAAAGTGACAATAACATCATTTGCTTGTGCATCCAGAGGCTGCACTAATCAATCAGCTTAAAAAGGAGTCTGGCAAAGGAGATGATAAAATACTGTCCAGCACACATCCTGCATCATATAACGTCTCATTGGGAATTCTAATGTGTTGCAGACAAACAGCTCAGCTAAACAGCATGCTGAAGAATTGCTCAATATCTTCTAAATAAACGTGCATACACATAGCCAAAGTATTAACTATTATCCTCTGAAGTTATTTCCTTCAGTTCTTCTTGCTCACAAAACAATCAAACCAACTGCATCCAGATTTTGATTCTGGGACTGAAAATAGGAATAACGAAAGAGAGCTATGTCCCAACTGATACCATTAAGACATTATTATAAAAGATTTATAGGCAGTGCTGCTGGCTATTAATAAATGGCATTAGATGTTTTAAAATAATGGTGCTCCTCCATTCTTTATATGTTATTAACTATAATTAATATGCTCTTGGTTTGAAACTATATATTGGCTTGTACAAGAAAAAGTGTCCTTGTGAAAACCATGTGACATTTATTTTTTCATGCATGCATTTCATTTATAGTAGTTCATTTATTGTAGCTCAGCAGGCTATTTGTAATATGCAGTGTAAGAATGGAGTCCATAGAAAAAGGCTGTCCCTGAGTATCTGCTGATGGCAAGTTTAAGGGAAAGAAGCATTGCTCTGTGCAGCTTTCTTCTCGCACAACTGTTACTTGTTCTTCAATAAACTCAATGGCTACATCCAAACTATTAAAGAAACCAAAAATTCTCATAACTAACCTTGTAATTTTGCAGAATGAAACTTCTTGGGAATGTCCCCAAATACTTTCAAAGCATCATAAAACCTTTAATGAGCTACTCAGATTCTCTCTTTTTTAAAAACTTTCATTATTCTGCTTTTAGCAACTAACAGAATAACTTTACAACTCTCATTACTGCTCCAAGTTGCACGGGAAACTGTTTATTGCCCTTCTACTCCCAATGTGATTGAATGCCTTGTCAGCAAGGGGTGCCTGTCCCAACAGATGACAATACAAACCTGGATCTTCTTTTTTGGTAGATGTTGGAAGGCATTCTTAAACAATATTGCAAGGCATAGGCAAGAGTGGCTCCTAGGTTTTCCTCACTTGTCAAATGTCTGTGGTCTGATTTAAATGCATGTTTGGTTTGAAGTCAATCCCACCATCTTCAGTAGAAATTCTCTTGGCAGTAAGTATGCCTGTGATTTCAGGATTGACATGGCTGATTTCCTATGATGTGACTAAACTACCATCACTGACATAACTTTGTTATTAAGAAAGAGCCTGTAACTGCCCAAACTTGCAGAGAGTCAAAAGATACTTGGTATGGCTACCCTCCCTGTCAGATTCCCTTTATTTAAATGTTCAGTGACATTTCAAAGAAAGCTTGGTTAAAAGTTTCAGTGTATTTAATGAGCATGATTCCTCAGTAGGTGGGCTTAGCACTGAAGCTGGGAAGCCTGACCTCATGCAATTCTACTACAAGTAAGTCCTATTTTAACCTGAGTTATATGTGCACTCATCTAACTGTGCATGCCACTGAAATCGTAACTCCAAAAGCACGCCTGCGTTCCAGCTGCATCATAAAGTCTGAACCAAATGCAAGTGTTGTAGCTCGCATGGGATCAGGCTGCAGAACTGAGATCGTTCTGAGTAAGGAATATGTGGTTTAAGATACTGAAAGAAAGAAGACACGGAGAGAACTTGAAAAGCAATGTTTATGCCCATAAGCTGCTTGTGGAGCTAAATGAAGGGTATTGCAAAGAAATGGAATAGTAAATAAGTTAGTAAAATCTCTCGAAAAGAACAACTCGGACAAGTCTAGCCATGTTTGAGCAAGTCGCGGCACCCGCGCCGGAACAAGCGAAGGCGCCGTTTCTGCTATCACGGGGCTCCGTCGGAGCCTCATGGAAGGAAGGGGGCTCAAGGGCTAAGGGGGTCCCTTTCCGGAAGAGGGACTTTTTCTCCCGACAAAGGCGACCGAGACTGGACTCTGAAAGGAGCAGCGTCCAAAGCTGACATAGACCACGAAAGTGGACCCGCCGAAAAGTGGACCTCTCCTCCCCAGATACAAAAGCAGCCGGGAGAGCTGGCCTCCGGAGAGGCTTTTGTTCGCTCACCCGCCCAAAGCCTTGAGCCTCTGCTCCCCTCCGCCGAGGGGGCTGGCGCTGCTTCGCCCCGCTGCGCCGCCGCCGGCCCTTCCGCCGGGCCAGCGCGCTTCCTGCCCTGGAGCGCCGAGCAATTGTCTTACCGCGAGGTCGCCTTTTCCCTTCCTTTCGAGCGCAGGGAGCTGCTCCTCCTCTCACGGGCGGCTTGGCAAACGACTGCCTCCTCCGGCCCGCTGCCTCCCCAGTTATATAGGACCCACTTCGAAGAGGCGCCTCTAGATGGCAGCTCGGCTAATCGGCTGCTGCCGCCGCCGCCGCCGCCGCCCAGAAGCTCGCACGGAACAGCGCCGGAGCGGTTTTCTTCCCTCTGTCAAAGCACAATCGCAGCTCTCGGAAAGAGGAGAGTTGCGTTTTTCCCCTTTGGCAGAGGACAAGCGTCAGTGCCGACATCTGCGTGCGGGGCATGATCACCTGCATCCTGTCTCCTCTATGAGAAAAACCCAACTAAACCCGCCCCAAGCGTCCAAGGACTCCGGTTCGCCTCCCCCAGAGCTTTTCTTTCGGCCAGCGGCGGAGCCCAAACCACCTCCATGCGCCGGCCCGCCTGCCCCGAGGCGCGTGGTTGCCGAGCCTCACCCGGGCCCGCGGCGCTGCAGCTCCAGGCCCGGGTGCGGCTCGCTTAGGGACTGCCGAGGCTTCCCCCACCGAGGCAGCAGCATGAAGCCCGCCATCATCACTGGCGCCTACAGAAAAGTAGGTCAGCATCAAGTTGACAGCCCAGTTGCTGAGCCCTTTCCCGCCCGAGAATTAAGGCTGGTAACTGTTGTTGTCCTGTTTCAATGCGGGTCATTTGAGGAAAGCTTTTGGAGTATCTCTTCAGCTTCATTTCCCTTCCCACCAAAGGCTTTTCTGGACAGGAGTCTTAAAGTGTTTAACTTCCATGGTAAATTCCCAGGAAACGAAGCCCACTTTAGAAATCCTTTTTAGGATTTCAGACCCTTCATCCAACGTGGCCCCACTTTAGCCTGGTGTTCTGACCAGATGGACCATAGCAGGGGTTTGCGATCAGTGGGTTCTCCTGCTTCTTGACCCTCCCCACAGACGTTTGCAATCTTTCCTATCCACAGACAAGTCTTGGAGGACCTGATTTCCACTGATAGTTTTGTATGAGGCCTCCCTCTATTTACTCCTGCTTGCTCTTCACACCTTCCTGGCTGGTGCATCCACCTGTGGACTAGTAATGAGCAGAAAGAAAAATACATCCCCTCTATAGTTTTGCCATGCTTCCTGCCACTTGTGCTAAAAGAGGGAACACTTTTCATTTTCAACTGAAGCCCTGGGGTTCATTGGTCAAGGTTTATTTATTTATCATATTTATATACACCGCCCAGAGTCAATTTGTGTGACTCCCTCCTTCCCTTCTTCTCCCATTGTTCCCCTTCCTTCCATCACTCCCACCCTCCCTCACCCTTCCTTCCCTCCCTCTTCCTTCCTTCCTTTCCTCCTCATCCTTCCTTCTGTCCCTCACTCCCTCTCCCTCCCTTCCTCCCTTCATTCCTATCATCCCTTCCTCCCTCTTCCTCCCTTTCTTCATTTGTCCCTCCCTCCCCATCCTTTCCCCCTCCCTCTTCCTTCCTTCCCTTCCTCCCTCTCCCTTCATTCCTATTGTCCCTTCCTCCCTCTTCCTCCCTTCCTTCATTCCTCCCTCCCTCCGGCTCACTTTCTTACTTCCCTCCCCCCTAATCCTTCCTTCCCTCCCTCCCTCCCTTTTCCTTCCTTCCTCCCATCTCTTCCTCACTAGCTTATTTCCTTCCCTCCCTCCAACGTCTGTCAAATGAAGGGATGTAGAACAAACAGCACTACTAACTTGGTGGCCATATAGCCTGCCTGCCTGCCTTCTTTCCCTTTCCTTCCTACCTTCCCTCCCACCAACTGACTTCCCTCCTTCCTTCCCTCCCTCCCTCTCCAATCCTTCCCTCCCTCCAATACACTTCCAGTCTTCCCTCCCTCTCCCATCCTTTCCTCCCTTCCCATACAATCCTTTCCTCCCTCCCTCCCTCCCTCTTCCTTCCTTCCCTCCCTATCTCTTCCTTCTTCCCCGTACCACTTTCTTCCTTCTCTTCCTCTGTCTCCCTTCTTTCCTACCATCTCTTCTCTCCTCCATCCATTCCTCCCTCCCTCTCCCATCCTTCCTTCCCTCCCTCTCCCATCCTTCCCCCTCCTTCCATCCCTCCCATCTTCCCTCCCCCTTCCTTCCCTCCCCTTCCCCCAACCTTTCTTCCCTCCCAATCCCATCCTTCCTTCCCTCCCTCTGCCTTCCTCCCTCACTCTTCATTCCTTTCCTCCCTCCCTCCCTCCCTCCCTCATACTTCCTTCATTTCCTCCCTCTTCTTTCCCTCCCTTCTTCACTCCTTCTCCCTCCCTCCCTCTTCCTTCCTTCCCTCCCTCTTCTTCCCTTCCCTCATTCCTCCATCCCACTCACTTTCTTCCTTCCCTCCTCCCTCATCCTTCCTTCCGTCGATCTGTCCCTCCCTCTCCCATCTTTTCTCCCTCCCTCTTCCTTCCTTCACTCCCTTCCTCCCCACTCTTCCTTCTTTTCTTCCTTCTCCCTTCCCTCTTCTCCCATCCTTCCCCTTCCTTCCTTCCATCCCTCCCACCCTCCCTCACCCTTCCTTCACTACCTCCAATACACTTCCTCCTCCCTCATCCTTCTTTTAAT